AAAAAAAAAAAAAAAAAAAAAAAAAGCTACTAATGTAGCAAAACAAAAAACAGAGAGAGACAGAGAGGGGGAGGGAGAGAGAGAGAGAGAAAGAAAGAAAGAGACTAGGTTTTGGGAACCAATGAAAATTGAGTACTAGGAAAATACATGAATTTGTTTATTATTCCAGTCTGATCTCTTGGGTTTTTCTGAGAACTTTCTTGTGTGATACAATAAAGGAGAGCTTCTTTCTTGAGACCTTGCTCTGCATTTTGCTATCATTTAAGTTCTTCCTATAGAATTTGGATAAAAAAGAATGGAAAGACTTAACCACAGACAGTGCTTTTACTATTCTGTGTTAATAGTTTGGCAAGTTGCATAGACCCAATTAACTTATGAGTGGCAAGTTATACATTTTGTTTTTTTTTTAATTTTTTGGCACCAGGGATTGAACTCTGGTCCTTGCACTTGCAAGGCAGGTTGCGGTATCACTGAGCTAAATCCCTAGCCCATGTTGTACATTTGAGATAAAAGTTTCTATGCTTTTTTTGGTACTGAGGATTGAACTCAGGACTTTGCACTTGTGAGGCAGGTGTGGTGCCACTGAGTTAAATCCCTGACCCAAAATTTCTATGCTTTTGATAAATATGACATAGTATATACTTCATATGAGTATCATTTCCTGTTAGCATTTATTACTTGCGTGTTCATGACATGCTGGGCAAAATACATTTTTTGGTTAAAAATTTAAAAATATAATTAGAATTTTAGATTCACAAGCCCCTTTTGATATTATTGATACCTTGAGATATTGCAAAATTAGATCAGAAAAACTTGCATTAATCTTCCATAAAAATACTGTACTTCATTGCTCACTAATAGTGAACAATTGAGACGTAATGATTTTTGTGGCTTGGGTTAGAGCTTTCAGGATGTAGCAGTGGCAACAAGCTTTTGTGGGGTTTTGAAGGTTCCTTCAGAGGATTCTTTTTCCACCTATACAAATATTCCCCCCACTCCTCAGCACTGAGCTACACTCCCAGTCGTTTTTTATTTGGAGACGGTCTTGCCACATTGTCCCTGCAGGTCTTGAACTCACCATCCTTCTGCCGTACCTCCCAGAGCGTTGGGATTATGGGCATGTGTCTTTGTGCCTGGCTCAGTGTCACAAAATTCCTCTTTGGTTACTAGTCGATGAAACTTGAAGGAGGGCAGATAGGAAGGCCGAGAGGGAGCCTAGAGATAGCTGTGGCTGGAAGGGGAAGTTACTCATTGTTGTGTTGTGCACTGCAGACACAGGAAGAGCATTTGGATCGCTTCTGGCTGTCAGGCCGGTGCATCTCAAGGAAGTACCTAGAGCAGTGAGGATAATACCTGTTAACAGTAGTGTTTTAAGCTTTTTGGTAAGAATGTGGTGAATATTCTTTTTTGTTCTCCCAGTAGTTTTGAGAGGCAGGAATTGTGTTATAGATGACAGTAACCTCTGTTTCCCACAGGGTGGGTCACAGCCTGGGTTGATGGTGGGCAATAGTTGAGGTTGAGTGAAAAAGGATTTGTCTTACTGCATTGAGAGTCTAGGGCAGGGGCCAGCAAACCATGTGTGTGGAATAAATTCACCTATTTGTCTTTACATGGCCCACTAGCTGAGAATGGCTTTGACATTTTTTAAGTGATTGAAAAAATAATAAAAGTCCTATTTTGTGACACGAAAATTAAATAAAATTCTAATTTTAGTGGCCATAAAGTTTTATTGAAAAAGCCAATTCTTATTTTTTTATTATTATTATTTTTTTTTGGTTCCTAGGATTGAACTCAGGTCCTTGTGCTTGCAAGGCAGGCCACCGAACTGCTGAGCTAAATCTCCGGCCCCAATTCTTAATTTTTAAAATATTGTTTTTGGCTGCTTTTATACCACTCTAATGCATTTGGGTGGTTGCAGCCTAAAATATTTATTGCTTGGCCCTTTACTGAAAAATTTGACTAAACTCTGGTCTAGGGTCTTTTCTGCCCATTAAGTTTATGTGTGTTTTGTGTGTGTGTGTGTGTGTGTGTGTGTGTGTATGTGTGTGTGTGTGATAATGGGGAATGAACCCTGGGTCTCACATGTGCTAAGCACATGCTCTACCACTGAGCTACATCCCCAACTGAGTTTTTAATACTGTACAGATTCACTTTTTTTTTCATTGAGTTTATTGGTCCTTTTTAGGTATACAGTACAGTTACATTCATCATTGGGATTTTGTACCTTCACATGACAGATCTTGGTTCTCATTTTTTCCCCATACCCCTGCCCTCCCTTTACCCCCTCCACCCTTCCCTATCTACAAAGACTTTGTTTCCAATTTTTCCTTTTCTCATATTTTTTCGAGAACTGGTACTCTAATAAAATGGAGAACATAGAAGAAATGGACAGAGATTTCTAGATACTTATAAATTACCAAAGTTGAATGTAGAAGATAAAAGAATTCTAAACACTCCAATTACAATCAGTGAAATTGAAAATGTAATTCAAACTTTACCAACAAAGAAAAGCCCAGGTCCTGATGGCTTCACTGCTGAATTCTGCAAGACATTTAGAGAAGAACTATTGCCACTACTCTTTAAACTTTTCAATGAAATCGAAAGGGAAGCAGTACTTCCAAATTCATTCCTGGAAGCAAGTGTTACTTTGATTCCAAAAGCAGAGAAAAACCCAACCAAAAAAGAGAACTACAGGCCAATCTCCCTAATGAACATGGGTGCAAAAATCCTCAATAAGATACTGGCAAACAGAATACAGAGGGTCATCAAGAAGATCATAACACCCTACCAAGTCAGATTTATTCCAGGGATGCAAGATGATTCAGCATACATAAATCAGTAAATGTAATACACTGTGTTAACAAAGTCAAAAACTGTATGATCATCTCAATAGATGCAGAAAAAGAACTTGACAAAATTCAGCACCCAGTCATGGTAAACACCCTGCAGAAAATTGGAATAGTTGGTCTTTATCTCAACTTGATAAAGGCTATCTATGAAAAGCCAACAGCCAACATCATAGTAAATGGCCAAAACTGAAAACCTTCATGCTAAAATCAGGAACAAGACAAGAATGTCCAGTGTCACCACTCCTGTTCATTATAGTTCTAGAAACATTAGCCACAGCAATTAGACATGAGAAAGAAATTAAAGCAATAAAGATAGGAAAATAAGGGGAAAGAGAAAACAGATGCATGTTTTTAATACTGTGCAAACACACATGTACCTACCTACATGCCCCACTGCACGTGTATCAACTTCCTGCAATGAATGTAATCGATTATGAATTGTGGATGTGTACTACTCTGCAAAAAAACCAAAATTATAAAGATATCCCAAGATCATCATAATTTTCACTATAAATATACTTTTTATGTATCTATCTCAAATTCCTCTCCTCTGGCATATTTCACTTCTTGAATCCCTATTATAATTATTTAATTTTCCTTTGTGACAAGAATAATTTGTCACTGATGGTTTAGAATGATTTAGAACTTTGCTGCTGATATTTGTTTCTGATTCTCCACCATTTTCTCTATAATAATGAAATAGGGTACCATGTTTTTCTTAGGTACAGTTTCGTTCTAATTTGTCCTTTACTCTATTTTAAAATTTGCTTACATTTTGGTACACTGTGATCTACTTATTTCCCCAAAAGGAGTATTTTATTTGCTTCTCCCAAATCATCTGGCTTACCAGTGACTTCCATCTTACCATATTACCTTCCTACTTAACATCAAACGCCAGTCCACAGAGGTTTGTAGGTAGTATCATAACTCTTTTCCTCAAATGAGAAATCTTCGGCTAGAAGAGAATACACAGAAGTAGTCTCTGTCTTCCAGATTTTGTAGTCCAGTTTTCAGTTGCTACTTAGATACAGATTGGTATTTATACTTATTAAGAATGAAATTGGGATTAACCTAACATTTCATATATGTTATCCAGTTTGTGTATATGCTGACCCTGAGCTAGGTTAAGAATTGCATTTGAATGACAGGGTTTCTGAGTCAAAGTTGCACTTTCTTCACACAGTATCACGTTGGCTTAGTTACTTTTCCTGTTGCTGAGACAAATATCCAACATCCAAAGTTAAAGGAGGGAAGATTTATTTAACTCACAGTTTGTAGAGGTTTCAGTCGTAGTCACCTGGCTCCAAGGCAGGGCAGCGTGGCAGAGGGGTATCGCAGAGGAGAAACAGTCCATGGAAGGACAGCCAGCAGTGAAGTAGCAAGCAGCAAGTGACCCCAGCAGTCCCTTATATTCTATCCCAGCTTCTTGCCCATAGGACAGTAGCACTCATACCCAGGGTGGGCCTTCCTATTATCCATACCCAGAACTATGCCTAACCATTTGATTAATTTAGTTATCACACTCGGACAGTCCCAGCATCACATGCCCTAGATCCATCCACCTACCTATGAAAAGCCCTACCTATGATGGAAGGGTAGTAATAAATGCATTTTGAATAGCTAAGAAGAGTTATCTCATTACTGTAATTAGCAAGACCTGCTAGGAAATGTATTCTAACGGGTGGTAAGTGGGCAAGGCTATGGGAACACAGGTCTTTGAAGACTGCATAAATCAGCTCATCCCAGCATGGGTCAGAATTTGTAGGTTTGTCTGACTTTTATTTTAAACAGCACGTGGCGGCTTGAATCTGACACTGAATACTTTTGCTGGAGTCATAGGTGATCTTTATAACTTGGGGAATTGGCTAGCATTTGATTCAAATGCCTGTGTGGAAGTCTTTAGCTTTTGCATGTCTGCTCTGGTCCTTGTCCTTGCATCCTTGCTGCTGTCACCGTGATGACCCCTCCTGGACAGTTTTTTTACTCACTTTTCTTCCTTGCAGGGCTACCAGTTTGAGGAGGACAATCCCCTGCGAGATCACCCTCAGCCTTTCGAAGAAGGGCTGCGGCGACTTCAGGAGGGGGACCTGCCTAATGCTGTGTTGCTGTTTGAGGCAGCTGTGCAGCAGGATCCTAAGCACATGGAAGTGAGTGGCTCATCTTCCTGGCAGCTTCCTACTGTGTTGAGGGTGGCTGCAAGGTTGGCTGAGGCCTCAGCTTGGGCTGGGGGAGCAAGGTGGTGAGTGGAAGGAACCAGCAGCAGGATGGACAGGCAGCCTCAGCAGTGACGGATCTGTTGGCTTCCCTCTAGGCTTGGCAGTACCTGGGCACCACCCAGGCGGAGAATGAGCAAGAACTCTTAGCCATCAGTGCACTGCGGAGGTGAGTAGCTAGAGGGTGAGGGCCAGGTGATTGGAGGCCCCAGCCAGATCCCTGCTCTCTTTCTGCTGCCAGCGCTTGTGTGTTCTCATGATGAAACTCGGGTTTGACGTGAGCTGGTGAGAACTGGTTCTAGTCTCTCATTAGAGTTTGATTTTATTTCTGGGATCCTGGCTGGTTCCTTGGCTGCTGGAACTTTCCCCTTCTCTGATCAGAGGCTTTGTTAGCTCCCTGTTAGATCTTAGGGTGCTGATGGGTGCCAGTGTCTGTAGACACCACCCGGTTCCTCCCCTCCCTGTCCATGCAGGTGTCTGGAGCTGAAGCCAGACAACCGGACGGCACTGATGGCACTGGCCGTGAGCTTCACCAATGAGTCACTGCAGCGACAAGCCTGTGAGACGCTGCGGGACTGGCTGCGCTGCACCCCCGCCTATGCCCATCTGGTGGCACCTGGGGAAGAAGGGGCCGGAGGGGCAGGACTGGGTTCTGGCAAGCGGATCTTGGGGTCTCTGCTGTCTGAGTGAGTGCGAGTGGTTCCTGGGGTGAGGAGTGGTCAGCTGGGTCCTAGTGGGAGCATGGTCTTGAGTGTGGGAGTTTGGACTGACTGGGACGGGGTGGAAGAGTGGGATGGGAATCCCAGGGTCAACGCGAAGGAGCTCTGTGTTCTGCAGGGCAGTGCACGTGAAACAGCAGGGCTCTCAGTCATCAGCCAGAATCTGGCCGTGGGGGGATGGCTGATACCTTGATCAGTCTTGGGGATATGATTGGCTTTTTAAGGACTTACTCAAGGGGTGGGAAGAATATAGATGTGTCCATCCTCTTACTTTCTCGATGTTCTTTTCTCACCCAGCTCCCTGTTTCTTGAGGTAAAAGAGCTCTTCCTGGCAGCCGTGCGCCTGGACCCGACGTCCATCGACCCGGATGTGCAGTGTGGCCTGGGGGTCCTCTTCAACCTGAGCGGGGAATACGACAAGGCCGTGGACTGCTTCACTGCTGCCCTCAGTGTTCGTCCCAATGTGAGCCTCAGGCGAGAAGTGGGAAGTGGACGTGGCTCAGGGCCTTGTGGAAGACTCGTGCGTGGGCTGGTTCATTCTGCGTGCGGGTCCAGCTGCCTTGGGAGGCCGGGAGAAGGGCCTGTGTGGGGCAGGAGCTGCCGAGGGTAGGGTGGGTTGGTAGCACATAGGAGCTGCGTAGTGGAGAAGCAGGGAGGAGTGGGCAGAACTTGATGCGAGCCTACTCATGTTCCCAGCCCTTCTCCATCCCTATGCCAGGACTATTTGCTGTGGAATAAGCTGGGGGCCACACTGGCCAATGGGAGCCAGAGTGAGGAAGCCGTGGCTGCGTACCGTCGGGCCCTTGAGCTACAGCCTGGCTACATCCGGTCTCGCTATAACCTGGGCATCAGCTGTATCAACCTGGGGGCCCACCGGTGAGAGGACCTCGCGTCCCTAGTGGGTGCACTCTTTCCACCCGCCTTCAGGCCAGCTCCTGATTCTGTGGTCCCGCCGTGCCTGGCCAGTCCCCGCCCTCTCCCTCCCGACCCGAGCCTGACCTGCCTGCTCCTGCTGTTGTGCTCACCAGCTCTCATCCCTCCTCTTCCCCGCAGGGAGGCCGTGGAGCACTTTCTGGAGGCTCTGAACATGCAGAGGAAGAGCCGGGGCCCGCGGGGGGAGGGAGGTGCCATGTCAGAGAACATCTGGAGCACCCTGCGCCTGGCATTGTCCATGTTGGGCCAGAGTGATGCCTACGGCGCGGCGGATGCCCGGGACCTGTCTGCCCTCCTTGCTATGTTCGGCCTGCCCCAGTGACAGTGGGACGGGCTGCCCTGTGAGTGCCCACCTGGAGGGGTCTCCGTCCTGGATGTGACACCCTCTCCCCCAATGGGTCTCCAAGGGGGTGGGCTGACGACCACAGGCGGTATGGCTTCTCGGGAGCTGCCTCGGTGCAGGGGTGGATCGTCGGCTTCTAGGTCCTACGTAATTGTAGGGTAAGGAGCTGTTGTCTGTGTCCCTTGGTAATTCAGGGGCTGTGCATCCAGCTACAGGTCTCTTCTCATCACGCCCTTTCTTGGTGCTGCTTTCTGGGTAGGACCCAAGGATATGGGTAACTGTTGTCATCAGCTGCCATTTCTGAGAGGGTCTCCCATGTTTGTAATGTCTCTCCTTCCCCCGTGTGACTGGGAATTGGTAACAGGCCGGCCTTCGAGGGCAGTTGTGTTAGGAGGCTCTGCTGGGCATCTGTAATGATGCTTCTGTCTGGGCTGCGGTATGGTAGGCATTGGTTTGGCTCTGGGGAACTGAGCATTGGTGTAGGTGCTTGCAGATCTGCCACTCTTGGACTATCCTTCTGGATGTGAGCTTGGGTTCCCTGAGTGTGTGACTGTGATATAGGAACTCGTGTTGTTACTGTATGGGTCCTCAGGAACAGCTGGGTCCAGTTGGCTGTGGGATAGGCGAAGGCTCTTGTGTGGGATGACCCTGGTGGGGACTCGTCAGGGTCAGATCAGAGGCTCCATCCTGGGACTTTAGTGGGGGCACAGAGGGCATGGGAGTGCAGCAGGCCTCCTAGAAAGACCTGAGTGGGAGTTGTCCTAACTGTAGAAAGTAGGTTCTGAGATTTCCATCTTGCCAAATTCCTAGCAGAGAGGGCACTCTGTGTTACCATATGCCTCTACTGTCCTTCCTGAAATATGTTTAAGGGAGAGTGGGAAATTGTTCTTCCCCCACATTACCACCACATGGTGAAGACTGAGGAAAGAGGGAGCACTGTGGCCTCTGTTCCCTGTCCCCCGCGTGGGAAACCCTGAAGCCCACTTAGGACTGCTAAGCCTCTTGCCTTGTCTTCAGTAGCTAATGATCAGAGAGATTTTTTTTTTTAACTTACCATGGTCCCCAGATTCCATCCTGAAATTTATTTTTCTTTGTATGAATATGTGTAAATGATTTAAAAATAAAACTAAAATATTTGTATGAAGACTAAATGGACTGATGTGGATATGAATTCTGCTTCTGGTCACGAAGTTGGTGGTGGGAGTGGGGTTGGTGTTTGTTTTTCCCTTCTTCCTTTGTCTGCTAAGTGCCCACTGGTATTTTGATGACCTGTTCACCTCTGCAGCATTATTGAGCACATAGGTGCTATAGAGAAGGCAGACAAAGCTACTGTAGGGTTTGCAGAAGAGGCAGATGTCTAACAGCCAGGAAGGTTTACATTTGTGTTACTACTTACAAAGAAAACATAAAGTGTTGTATAATTACATTGGAGAATATTTATTTACTTATTTATTTATTTATTTTTGAGACAGAGTCTGCCTATGTAATTTAGGTTGGTTTTGAACTCGCTGTGTAGCCCAGGCAGACCTCAAACTCAGAGCCATCCTGCCTCAGACTCCAAGTGCTGGGATTATTACATGTGTGTAATCCATACCCGGCTGTAATTCTTTTTTTTTTTTTTTTTTTTTTTTTTTTTTTTTTTTTTTTT